GAATCCACAGCCCCAGCCTGCTCTCGCTCCTACCTCAAATACGCATGCACGCGGCAGCTGGCCTCAAAACCCACACCCAAACGCACACCCACCAGCTCCCTGGCCCTCGAACCCACATCCTTCACAATTTCATCCACATCCGCACGGAATCCCGCTCCACCAGCCGTCACCCTTCGCGCCCATACCCCTACCGGCGGCGATGCAGTACGCCAGGGCCACGAGCCCGATATATCCCGTCGAGCTGGCGCCGCAGCCTGGGTCTGGGCCTGGACAATACGCCTCCTCTTCGCAGCACGAGCGCCTGAATAATTGTTCCATCGACCGCCTCAACCCTAACTCCTCGCGCGACCTAGACCGTATGAACGCGCAGGCACACAGCCAGCACCGATACGCACCGTACCCACAAGCTGTCTCATCATCAATGTTAGCGACAAACCTCCACGCTGCATCCCTCTGATTCCCAAAGACGATTATCCTCTTCATCGCATGGATCGCTGGCTTCTTCATCCTCTCGCGGGTCGCTTTCGCTGGAGATGCCCGCGCTGTCGATACATGACGGCGTCCCGTCGCCCGCGCGCCCCAGCGACGCAAACAACCCACCCATGACGCTGCCTGCAATCCAGCCGCCAAAAGGCCAAGCCGATGGAGACTCGTCTTTGTACGCGCTGCCCCCGATCTCCGCCCTAGAAGATCTCCGCGGCGTCGACGCACACCGGCAGGACCCAACTGCCGTACTGCGGCGGCTGCAGGCCGATGACGACGTTCATGAAGCAGACGTGAAGGAGGAAGAGCACCAGCGCAGAATACTGCGCTCACTATCTGTGCCTACTGCCCGGTACGTTATTTTCCTCTTGCAATCCCAATTTATTTACATATTCTAATTTATTTTCGTTTCTCGCGTGCAGAATCCCCTCCCAGTCGCATGCTGTAACCCTTCCCCTCCACCGGCACTCCCTGGGGCAGATCCCTCTCAATAATAATAATGACCATAATAAGATGTGGTTCCCCAAGCTCAGCCTCTCGGTGCCCTCCGCGTTCGATGCCAACGGCTCACGCTCCGCCACGTGCGATCCATCGCCTGTCTCGCACGCGACGCCGCGTTCCCCCAGCGCTCGCCGCACACACGCGCACTTGTCCCCCTCGCGGTGCTGAAGGAGCAGAGCCGCCTCGCCGCGCCATACGCGTTCCCCGCCGTTGCGTCTCGGGATCGAGACGTCTGCGTGCAGGTACTCGTGCATGGACGACGACCGTAGCGCGGCGGAGGGCGTCCCCGTAGCGACGGGGGCGTGGTGAAGCCTGCCTGCGCCTGCTATTCTTCCCTGTCTTATTCTATTTGCTATTCACCTGTCGCAATCATCCTATCCATCCTGTTCGCATTTTGCATTTTCACAAACATTCACATTTCCATTCTATTCATCCCTTCTTCATATTCGCACCCTACGGTCCCGTCTCGCTCATGTTATGTTATGTAATAAATTTTGCTCTGTACACCAACCCCGGAATCGGACATATATCTCACCTACCATGCATACCTCGTTCTTAAATACCTAGTCCACCTTTCACGACACCTCTTTCGACTTACTTCACGCACCTCCTTCGACTTACCCATATACACACCTCCTTCGACTTAATCCCAATCTCTCATTGACGCATACGCATACGCACATGGCACATGTATCTAATTGTTCTACATAGTGCCCCCACACCTTGCTCTTCGCAGTCACCAGCAAATAATAATTTGTACTTACTACGCCTTGGATCACCCATCCCGGTCGCACCATGACCACCTAATGAAGGACAGACGCTTTGTGCCAAATCAATGCCAAATGCTGAGCTGGTGGCTCGGCCGCCTCATTGTGAAAGTGGAAAGGCAGGTTGAAAGTGGAAGGCGTTGCGGCATTTCCCAACGTACTTGAACGAAAAGAAAGAGCAGCTAAAAGTATTTTGAAACAAGCAACGCACAGTGGAACAACAACGCATCATGTGGCCGCGCGATGCGCTGAGTTGTGGCCGTGCGTCGTCGCGTCAATGCTGTTCCTCGGAGGCTTCCTCCCCGTCGGCTGCGAGCGCGCGTGCGGGCTGTCGTCTGTGAGGACGACGATGTCTTCGGATTTGCAACTGGGAGGCGAAGGGCGTTTTGTGTGAGTGCTTCTCGACTTCTTCCATTCGATGCCTCTGTCTAAAAAAAAAAATTATTGACCAATTGATTGTCCCCGACACCAGATCGGCATCACTCGGCATCAACTACCACCCAGGAATCCAGGAATGACGCGAAGCCCGTCTTTAGCTTCCTTGTTCGTACGGGTTGCCTCCATCTTCCAATTCAATCTTTTCTCTCTCCTTCACTTATTGAATTTTTCTTTCACAAACAGGCACTGTTTGTGCTATAGGGGACCGAAAATGTCGCCTAACGGCTTATAAAATCTCAAGCTAATTGGTTGGGAACTTGAAAGATGACCGACAATTCGCATCGCTGCTCAATTTTTTCTTCGATTGCTCAATTTTTCCTCGATTATTAACCTCGATGTGAGCTGGTCGGCGGGGCCCAAGCGACGACCGAGCGAACATCAAGGCAGATTCAACTTGAATTCTTTGTGCAATAACCCGGTGTACCGGTAGGATCTGGTCGGGCTCAGGCTGTCAGTGTGTGCGCATGTTTGGCTGTAGCTTCCTTAGTCAGCATCACCTAGCTTGTCTTAGACCTTCGCTATCGATTCCTTGCGCAGCTACACCGCGGGATCCAGGCTCTTCGACCTACCAGCCATCCATTCCGCACCGACACACCGGGGCTCCCCGTATGTAACTTGATGAGTTGGAACTTGGTTCTGGTTCAATTTTTGACTGCAATCGCCGGTCGGAGACTCATCACGACTAATTTTCTCCCATGACTTTTGTTTCGCCTGTTTGTGACCCGCCGCTTGCGGCTCCTTCCTATCATGCTTTCCTCCCTCCTATTGTTCAACTAACACACACCCATTTCAAGGCCGCAAAGCCCAGAACTTCGGGCGGGCTGTGTTCCCTGAGCGAACGTAAGATTAAAATAGATTGTAGCGCACCCGATGCCTGGGAATCGCGCGGAGAACCTCCCAACGCGAATTTAAGCTCAACACCCTAGATCTGCGCTGCTTGAATCAAGCGCCGCCAACCGCTAAATGAAGCCGGTGATCTTGTTTGAAAACCGGAATAGATTCCGCGTTCGAGTTTGTAAATTGTGGGGATCCGTGGGCTAAATTGGGGGTGTGGTTAATATATTTGCGGGTGGTGAAAACGCACCATACACCATAAACGAGCGCTGCGGACGGGCAGCGAGACAATTCTGAGCGAAAACCAAAGTTCAGGTTGGGAAGAGGGTTGGAAGAGATATCGGCGTGGTGACGGCGGAAGGGGTGCATAGGAGGACGAAAATAGCGCGGGGAGGTCAAACATTAATTTCGAGTCAACGCCGGAGCTGTGGGAACGCACCGAGGATCTCCACTTTAGTTCCCACTCCCGAGATCGCCGCCAATGGTTTCCATAAAGGGTCTTGACAATGTGGACTTCTGTCCAGAACCTCGGAAATGGATTTGTGCCATTCTGAGGTTATTGAAATTCGTTCCCTGAATGCTCCCGAAAGGCTGTGAATAGCGGAGGCGCTGTGGAGTTACCGTGGCGCTTAATTGTGAGCCTACTTCAAACTCTGAAACCTGTGTTCAGGGCTCCCGAAATCTACAAGTGACGGGCGACCCATCCACCTATCCCTCATTCCAACCACCACCCGTTTTCGCCCACCCTCCTCTCATTACCTCTGGACTACCTTCCCTGCATTCCAGGTCCTTGTCATCGCCGCTAATTCGCCACCGCCGCCAACGACGACTTCGACCATACGGCAACCTTCAACCTCGCTTCAACGTCGGCACCGGAGTCACCGACATCTCACCTACCTGTGGTGCGTGATTCCGCAACATCCTTCATTTCCATCTGACCGCTTCCGCAGCTCCATTCCTTCACTCAAGCTTTCGCCTCCAAATCCGACCGCCGACTCGCTGCACCGCTTCAAACTTCGACGTTTTACTTCAAATTTAGATGGTGTGCTTCAAATTTCGACGCCGCGCTTCAAACCTAACCCTCCACGCCCAAGCTATGTATCTTCCCGTCCCAATACTTCGCATTCATTAGATCTGAACAACGGTTCTCAATTTATGCGAGTTAATATTGCGATTTCAACGGCTTAAGAAGACTATTTCGACGTGTTTTGTTAGTTGAGCAACTTCGTACGTCTTCTTGTTTCAATTTCGCTGCTTGTTACGCGTCTTCTGACTCGCTTTAACCTTCGATTCAGTTTCAAGGCACGCTTCAACGTCCGCAAACTTCAAGAGCATTGAATGGATGGATTGGTGTCTCTGCACGGTGGCGACTGGGTACGTCTAGTCCCTTCGATTCTTGACTTTGAATCACACCTTTATTGGCTTGGTTCAATAGATCGTACCTTGAAGACCTCAAGCTCGAGCCTGGCTTCGTTCAACTTACTCTTCAAAAGGCTGAGACTATCATCAAGTTTACTCACGGTACGTTCCGTTCATTCGTTCTTGACTACCACGCGTACCTTTGGACTGACCTCGTTCGCACCTTAGCAGACTTTGCAAGACTCTTTTCGCTCCTCAACACGGTCAAGTTCCTCGAATACAACTCAATGTTGAAGAATGGTTGAATGGATAGGGGGCAGATGATTAAATGACTGCCGGTGCTCCGGTGAAACAAAGGACGTACAGATTTCCATAGACGCCGAGTTTGATATCCGTTTTCACCGTGTCGTTGAGCCAGCTATCTGGATTGAACGCATCGGCGTCTTTCCCAAAGATATCAGAAGATAGAACAATCCTCACTATGTATTAGTTCAAATCCGGATCCAAAACCACGCACCTGTTGTATGCAGATAGATACCAATGATTTCTAAGACACTTAAGCGGAACCGTTGTAGTAGATGCTCCCCCAAAAAAAAATACTTTTACAACTTTTTGGAAGGACCCTACCTCGAATCGAACGAGGTTCTCCATCTTAACTGTTTGCTTTGTTTCGTACTCGAAGATGGTGTTGTATACCATTCAACTATAGGGTCGTTAGACTCAGAGGGCATTGTTAAGTCATAGCATAGCATTTCGGGAAGGTAACATTTCTACATGTTCACAGTTGAAATGCTATAAGTACAGACCTAGCTTCGGCTCCGGTCCGGCAAGCCGGACATTCTCGGAGAGGAAGCTGCAGCGAGCGGCGGATGTCGGCCGACACTGACATCATGATGAGAGCCTGCGACGTCGCGCACAGTGCTTCTTGCTTTACACTGTGACAGCGACTTTGTCTATCGCTGCTGCTCTCTTCCCTCATCTCCCATGGCCTTCATCGTGCCATATTTGCTACTCTCGTCTCGCTTTTCACTTTGCTACTCTCGTCTCGCACATCTTATCTACTCTCGGCTCACATTTTTGCTACTCTCGTCTCGCATTTCACGAACACCCGCTGACCTCGCGCGTTCGCAGGCCCACCGCCCGAATCGGACCGGCGCAGGCGGATATCTCTTACGAGAAGAACGCGTGGCCTGTTGTGAGGTTTGGGTGGCCCACTTTGAGCTTTACTCCTCGACTTCGGGGATTGTGTCGGCCCAGCAACGACGGGTACCGCAAGCTCGGCAAGTTCCACCTTACTCGGGACGTCTAGGGCGGCGACCACTGCGTCTACGACGAGCGCAAGACAGACGCACGGCCCCCTCGTGGACGACGTGGAGGATGTGCACGCGGCGGTGGACGACGACGACGAGATGATTGGCGGCGCGTACGATGTGGATGGGGGCGAGGAAGTGCTCGAGGGAGACACGTCGTACTCGAGTGAGGAGTTGTCGACGAGGTTTTCGGAGGACTCGCTGCAATATCAGTCCTACGTGGGGTCGCCCCGGCTGACCACTCATTCGTCTTTGGCCCGCCGGACGTGTCGCTGGTTCCCCTTTGCGACCTTTTGGTGGTGTACAGTTGCAAGCGTTTGGCGGTGCCGTTGACGCGCGGGTTTGCAAGTGGAGTACGGCAAACAAAGCACGGAATACGGGAGCAAGGCTGGCATGCACAAACAACAGGTCAAGGGTGTCAGTATTGAGATTCTCAGGGCCGGCGCCGGTGTTGGCATCCCCAAAAAGGGTGGTACGTGGTGCATATACACTAGGCTCGCTGGCGCTAATTCATTCTCCGACCTTTTCATTATTCGCCTTGAATCTGGACGTATTGTGGTTTGGGTGTACAGGCAGACACGGTATTGATACACTACGTTAGCACGCTCCCCGACCGGTCCAAACTCCACTCGTCGTGCGACCGGGGCGCCCCCTCCTCTCTGCGGTCGTCTCCGGGTCCTTACGTCTTGCCTTTATTCCTGTGCCCAACTCTTTCCTCGTTTCTCAGCGCATTCCGGGAAACGAATACTAATCAGCTTCACCCAGGTGTTCCCCAACTCTACCTCGGCATCCCGCGTCGAACGAGTGTCAGCTGCGAAGTAACGCTGCATTAAGCCTACCTACTCCACCTCCACCGGATCCGATAGTCCAATGAACTTATGCCAGTCTTTTGCCATTTGAATAAACAACAGTTGCAATTCGTCTTTGCGATGCAATGCAAGGGTTCGTTGAAGTCCGGAGCCGGCCACCTCAACATTCATGGTAGAAGTCCGTGGGTCCTGGGAAAGCCTTGAAAGGAAACGACGCTGTAACGCTGTTGCCAACTGCCGGTACTGGGCTACCGAGGATCCAAAGCCGAAGCAGGATGTCGTCCAGGCATTCAGCGCCTTGCCTCTACTACTTGTCGAGATCAGGGATCCCATGGAACATTGCTGTTATTGAGCCGGGGTCGGAGTGGGATTGGTTATCAGCTAGAAGAAGTTCGAGCTCGACGGGCCGGACAATTCGGATTGCGATGTACAAAAGTTTTGCAACCACTGGTGGAAAGACGTGAACCACTGAGGTGATTGCCGGGTTCTCGCGGTCCCTCATCTTCCCGACCGTTGAATGGATACCGAGGGTGTTACCGTCCGCGATATAAATCAAATTTTGCAAACGGAAAGCGTCCGCATCCAGGGTTCGCGGTGGCAGACCGCCGGTTGTATGCATGGCCGCAGAGATTCGAAGGAGGGCCTTATGCACGCACATTCTCCAAGATCTCACTTCCTGCGTATGAGAGCTGATACTCAAACCGAGAACAGAGGTCAGTCCACATTTTCCCCGCGCCTCTAGTTCTTTCCGAAATTGCTTCGATTCCGAGCTGTTCTCGTTACCACCAGTAACGAAGGCTTGCAGGTCAATCAAGCGGCAAATGGAGTGGAGGGTAATGCCGCAGAGAACGAACTCCGTGATGTACACATCTAGGTCATGTACGGTCTCCCTCATCATCCGAGGAAGGTGCGGAACGGAAACCACATTGTTTGCGACCTGAAGTGTTTCATCGTCGGTCCACATCATCCTCGATGGGCGGACGACGCTCCTCGATGCATGAGACCACGCATGCATCAAGAATCGGACTCCAGAGTATGGTGGTGGGCGGTGCTCTGCAAGATATCTTCGACAGAAAGCGGCTGGCTCTCTGAGGCAGAGTTAGTGGGGACTAAACCAAAAATAAAAATAAAAAAGCGGATTTACTTGAGTGCAGATTCGACCTGGCTTGCTTTCCATTCTGTGGCGAGCTTTGCAAGTCCCCGCGCGCGCATGGCAGATTGTGCCGGTGCCAGCAGAATACCTGGAAGGTTTTTAACAGAGGCAAAGTTGCCTTTGCGGTCGATGCAATGCGTTGCGAGAAAGCCATCAGCGGGGCTGCGAAAGGCTGGTCGATGTGTGTCAACGTGAGTGGAGGAAAATACAGCAAATCCAGCACTATATCAAGCTGCTTTCGTGCCGAATCTGCAGTTTGGGATAACAACGCCACGCGCAATTTCTGCACTGCGGAGTTCAGCTCTTTCGACATAGTAATAGGATTTGTTTTGGATAAACCGTTGCGGGGTGCTTTGAGGGTGGCCAATAGAAGCATCTTCTCTCTTCTCTCGTAGAAGTGAAGGGTCGAGTCCTTTCGCGGAACACGGAGAAGGTGCGGAGGTGCGCCGGGCAGTCTAACCATTGAGCAATCAATAACCAGTCGACCATTCTAAGTAAAGGTTTCTCACCGACAGCCGTCCAGCACCAGGAATCGGAGGGCCTCGGGCGCAGTGTGCACGGCTCGCACGCGGTCCATGAAACTCTCGTGGTGTACTTCATTGACATATCGCAGAGCTCATCTGCCAACCTGGGTCCTTTCGGAGTGCGAGCGTCTACGACATGGCGAGGGTCAAATGGCCTTAGGAATGCTTGAACACCGGTTTCGCGAAACACGGCGTGGAAAGTGTCGGAGATGAAATCCTTTCCCAGCGACTCGCGATGCCCTGCGTAAAATAGTTCTGTGAAATTTTCCACAAATGTTTCGTCCAACTCCGAAACACTTGTTGGGCGGGTCCACGGAGCGGATACCGAAATCTATTTCTGAGTCCAGGGGCGATGGTGTAATTACGCTTGCTTGTACACCGGGAAAATCCCTGGAACCGGGACCGGCCGTGTAATGCTACCTACCTACCTACCTACCTGCTTGGTGACAGCTCTTGATCTCCCAGCTGGGACCCAGGATGCCCAGAAATCGGTGGTGTAAGCGACAAAGAACATCGCATCTCTTCACATATAAGAACATGCTGCATGCTGCTGGCCCAATTTCCACCCATCCCTCAAAGTCCGACTCGATTAGATGACACAGCAACACTGCATTATGTTGAATTGGATTTGAGGTTCCAATTTCGAGGCCCAACAAAGTATCTTGCCGCGGTTTTCTCCTCCACTCATTTACGACGCGTCGCCCAAGTTTGGCTCCCTTTGTCTGATGGCAGGACGCGTCAACGATCACATGGTGGCGCCTATTCTTATAATTGTTAATAATTATCCGTTCTCTTAATCTTTACAGGCTCGTTTGTGTACGCTCATTTGTCCTGCTGTGTATCCAACCCTCTTCGGAAAGATTGTCCCCATCCGAGGCACACGTAGTGGACACGTTGTGTACACGTTCCTCTTTTCTGCTTGTTTTCTGCTGCTTTCAACACTACGTGGCCGCAAAAAGCTGTGAAGTTGAACAGCTTTTTTGACCATCGTGGATTCGTTGGTCGAACGAGCTCTCCTCGTGGTAGGCTGTTCAACTGTGCCTGCCGCAGCAGCCCGGAGTTAATAAGAGCTGTTGAACTGCGGTCCTCAGCGCCTCCATCGTGGATAAAAGAAGGGCGATGTATTGCCGAATTATCTCTCCCTCTCCCTCGACGCTTATATACTTTGTTACAAGCTCGGTTGAATCCTGGCATCGCAATCTTAATCTCTTCAAACATGCTCAAACCATCCCGGGTCAAGACAAAACCAAGGCGCTGCACAATTTGAACCAATTCAACTTCTGCAAACATATGTTGGCGGGAGACTCCCTGATTCTACTTTCACCGTCATCTTGGCTATCTATATTTGCGGGTGCTTCTTCAACTATCACATTGGTTTGCCATGTTTCATTCATATCCCTGGGATATCGCGCCGCTAGCATCTGACCATCAGAGCCGAAAATGCTGTATTGGGTTTTTCTTTGGACTTTCTGTCCTTCCGAACCCATGGCTTGCTTCAACACCGGGTCATTATCCTTCCATTCGCGCTGCACAAATTCTGTTTTCAAATGTTGGAAGGTACATACCAACATATTGTATGACATCATCATTTCCGCTTTCCCAATTCTAATTGTCGTTGTTGTGAAACCTACGACAATGCCAGAAGCTCCAGGCGGACAGTGCTGCTGCGCGTCTCCAAGCTCTATGGCGCGGTATGGCATACAGACTGCTCGTCCAATCTCAAATGAGAGCTGTTTTTGAACGCGGCATTCTGGGAATCAATGGGTTCCGATATCTGGCTTTACTTGACGAGGAGATTTCTGGATCCATTTCGAGGTGTACATATCCCTTCAATTCTCAGTCCACATTGATGCCTTACGGATCTCCTCATGCGAACCCGTTATCAGTCCGTCCAGTCACAAACGTATCTGTGCCTTC